AGGTGGCACTGAAATCCATCATATCTGTATGATGAGCAATATAGCAACTTATTAAAAAAAATCACAGTGCTCACACTGCAAAAACAATCCAGAAATAAGTAAAAAATGGCTTAAATTAAGTATATTTAGCCTTAATTTGAGTAGATAAATAAGATGATTTGCCAATGGAATGAGTATTTTTACTCTTAAAATAAGATAGTTAGATAATATTTACTTGAAATAAGAGGATAAAATAGTTTTTTCTTATTTTAAAAGGAAATTGTCTTGTTCCATTGGCAAAGTGTCTTACTTACCTCCTCAAATCAAGGAAAAACACACTTATTTTAAGAAAAAATAACTTATTGAGATTTCTATTTTTTGCAGTGCAGAAGCTAAGCTGACTGATTTAATCTACTAAGTGGACATCAGTAAATGTATTCCGGTAAACATATAGAACCCAAACTGATCTTATTTTATATGATCACAGAATATTGATTAGCATGACAGGACCTGTCATTTTATTATTATTACAGCATTTCATGAAAAAACTCTAAAAATTCTTCAATGCTGTCAGAGGAGGACACCCAAATTAGACACTCATTAGAGTACAGTTTCACTTTACTGTTGTTTTACGGATTACGCTCAAATTAGTTTCAAATGCATAACCACCATCCTTTAAAATATATGTTATGTTGGTTGTTCAATCTTCAATAAAGAATATCTTAATTTTCCTTGTTATTATTTTCAGTTACGGATTACCACATCATAGGGATCAGGTCGTTGTGTACTTCTAAGACCTAAAGAATTATTCTGCAGGAACTTTGCTTCAATTGGGACACCTCAGCTGGGCAGGTAGGTCAGAGACAATACAGATTTGTGGAGTTGGGCAGAACTACACAAATCAGCTTCTTAAAAAAAACAACCCTTGATAAGACAGAGTACTTTGGAATTTTAGAACAATGGGCAGAAGATTGTTCCTCTAATGACTCTTTCACATTATGCAACTCTAGAGCTAAGGCTGAGACTATTTCATGACACACTTTACTTCTTACATCTAATAAATCAGAAATTGTGCAAATTGAACAACTATTTACTGCTGAATCAGCGCTAAGGTACAACAACAAGCAGCCTGATCAGTGTGACCCCATCAGTGCTGCCAGGGAAAACCACAATAAATGACATAAAAACACAGACCTTATGGTTATGTAGAAAAGAGGGAGAATGTGGATGTGGTTATGGCTGGGAAAAGAGGCCAAACTAGGAGAGAAGTTTGAGTTAGAGGTATGTCGTTATCAGGTACGTTAGTGTTAGTGTCTATAATGTCTGAAATGGTTACCTCTATGGTTCATTCTATTGGGCGTAATATATGACACTTTTAGATCACACGTTATCTTTGATAATAAGACATCCTCTTTGGATCTGTCACACATTGCAACTTCAGATGGCAGATTTAGAGCAACAGACAAATAGGCTATTATTCCTCTATTATACCTGTCATTTGCAATGTCCCGAAGATGTACAATCTATAGCTCATATAGGGTTACTGCTGAGATGTTTCCTCCTTAGCACCATCTAAACACATACCGGTACACTGCAAAAACAATCCAGAAATAAGTAAAAAAATGGCTTAAATTAAGTATATTTAGCCTTAATTTGAGTAGATAAATAAGATGATTTGCCAATGGAATGAGTATTTTTACTCTTAAAATAAGATAGTTAGATAATATTTACTTGAAATAAGAGGATAAAATAGTTTTTTCTTATTTTAAAAGGAAATTGTCTTGTTCCATTGGCAAAGTGTCTTACTTACCTCCTCAAATCAAGGAAAAACACACTTATTTTAAGAAAAAATAACTTATTGAGATTTCTATTTTTTTGCAGTGTATGCACTGGAGCACTGAAATGATGCTCTGATGGTAACTAGTTAAGTTTTCAATACCTTGCTGCTACTTATCTGATTACAATCCCGTGAAGGAGCAGTGATCAATTTGGTTAGTTTTTCATCCTCTTTTTCTTTTTCCTTGGCTTTCCTGATGCCTCTGTCTGCCAGCTATTCAGAGTCAGTATTCTTCATTAACCAGTCAGGTTACACCCTGTTTTACAACAAAAAAAAGAACTTTCTCCACTCACACACTACCTCTCAGTAATTAATATCATCCCACCCTTCTTCTCTATCTTGCGGCTTTCATATAAATATTTCAGGGCCGCTCTAACTAAGCTGTCCCACCTCCAGCCTGCCTTGTTAACAGATCCATCAGTAGGGCTCTCGTGCTTCTGTGATATGTGTACAAAATATGCAGCAGAGCGAGCCATCAGTTAGGAAGGCTGAAGGCTTTGAAATATGGTCAAGTACCAGGAGCACTCTTTTAGTTTTAGGGTCTCTAGAGAGGCAGAGGGTGGAGACTACAAATAAAAAAAATATATATAAAGCTTTGTAGAATTAAGAAAACTTGTAGACAATTTTGAATAAACTTCTTTGAACAAGAAAAATGAAATACCATGTGTGTTCTGAGGCCTGCAGAAGAGTAGCTGCTCCATTTTCTCTGTATTTCAGCCTTTCTTCCCACCATTTCAGTTTGAATTAAATTATGTAACGGCTGCACTACTGAATGCTAGTCGTTTTACAATGAAGGCTAAAACAGGTGAGGAGTCTTTTGTTTCTTTGTAATACTTCTGGTAATGGACCCGTCACCATGGCAGTGAAAAAATGGAAACCAGAGCTTTCTCAGTTGTGTTAATGCTGGTTCATTTGAACCTTAAACAGAAATAAATTAGTAGATGGGTGGTTCATCAGGTGGAAGATTTGATTGATCGCATTTTGCTCTTTAAATGCTTTAATCAACACAACAATGAAATGAGAAACTTGAAAACGTCAGACAGGTACCAAACCAGCTTCTGCATCTTGAAACTCCTAAATATGCTCCCTACATTATATTCAGCTACATTTACAAATTTAAAAATATATCATTATAAAAATGCCACATGGTTTTTAATTATTTTTCATTTCAATGTGTCACATTCTTCTGGGCTCTCACTTTAGCATATTTTCCTGTTTCTGGTATCATTGTGTGGCTTCATGTTTACATTTCTATCCAGCCGGAATATTCTTTAAAAAATGTTTAAAAGACAGTCAGTGTTTTCCTGGAACATACCTTTGTAAGACAACAGCTTCCAAAAAGGCAGTAATCCTCAGTCATCTCCAACCTCAAATGCATGACATCTAATCCTCCTGAAACTGTTTGTTAAAACATGATGCAACCTCCTCCTCTCTGCTGCCAAAGCAAAAAACATGATGCTGTCACTTAGGTTTCCATGTATGTATGTATGTATATATGGATGGTTTAGATAAGTAGAAGAAGCTTTGAGTGAACATTGGCACTAATACCATTAGTCAATATATGCAGTTTATCACCAGGTCAGGCATTGTCTGGGGGCTCCCGGCCAGCTCGGACCCCTAGGCAATTGCTTGGTTTGATTACCTTGTTGCAATGGGCCTGAAGCCACATGGTGAAAAAAAAAGCATGAAAAAAAAGTAGCTGCTAATAGTTCGGAAAATACGGTAGTAGGCAGTAAAGTATATAATAAGTATATTATAAAACACGTATCTTTAATATTATCATATACAATAAATATCCAAAACAATGACATTTTTATGAATAAGACATTCACACTTGTAGGAGGTCAACCCAGGGACAATACAAGTTAGTTTTATTCTATTTTTTTTTTATTCTAATCACCAAACTCTACAAGACATTAGTCTGGAGTCTAGTCTTCTTGTTTTTCCAAGAAATGTTTTTTTTCCAGAGTTCCATGCGATCATCAGGGCTTTTCTTTCAACATCTCTGTTTCTTTCCCTTGTTCAGTCCAGAACCAAACTTCTTTCACAAAATATATATGGATATTTGTTGATCCTCTCAACTCCAACATACACGCCCTTCAGACATATAAAAACGTGGAGTTTTTATTACCTTAGCCCTTAGTAACCAAGGATGAGTAGAGGACACAGTTTATGTAAACAGAGCAGAAATATTTCAACATAATCTATATTCCCATTCACTTTACAGAACTGAATAGCTATAAATACCCACCTCAGAGATGAAGATTTATTTACTACGAACCTGCATCACACATCGTAAAGTTAAACGGACTTGCTAAAAGATAAGAGGACAGATTTAACTGCTCTTGCAACATTACAGGGACCCAAACAGAGCAAACTTCCACAATATCTTTCTGCATATAATGGAAAATAATTAAAGTAATGCTCAGTGTTTGCAGATACCACTAACTTTTAAACATATGTATTTTTCTGTCTGACATTTTGAGGTCCTAAAACTGCTAAAGAGGACAGACCTGCAGTTTTTCCAGCAGGTATCGGAGCTGCTCTTATTCAACCAATTCTGAAAGTTTTATTGCATGCCTCATATGATCATTATCTTATGCCCTTCTAGTTAGAAAACATTACATTTTCATTTTTATGAGGAATCCAGCATGAGTCCAACTTGAGCTGCACTCTGGCTCCCTCTGCTGGTCACAGAACGTGTAACTTGGTTAATTTCCTTTCAGAGAATAAAGATATCCTCCAAAATTCTGATTAATGAAGATTTGAGATTTTCATGATGAAATTACGTTTATTCAATCAGAAATAAAAATCAATAGACAAAACATTAAACACTTACTTATCTATCTTTGATTTTCCATGAATGAATTAAATGTGCCCTTCAAGATGCATCACTGTTTTTCTCCCCTATGTAAAGCTTTATATATTTTCCCTGCACCACTTTCTCCACATTTATTTAATTAACTCAGTTGAGCTAAAAAAAGGATTACTCATGGTCAGCCCATCCATCCATCTTATCTCGCTTATTCTATCAGGGTAGCAGTGGTCTATGGGCAAGAGGCGGGGTTCACCCTAGATAGGTCTTCAGTCTGGTGCAGAGCAAAACAGAGACATAAAAACCATGCACACAAAATATGCGCTTCTTAATATAAGCAAAATCCATCCAGCAACAAAAACCCAAAGGTTCATGGACAAACTTTTTGATTGCCAGCTGCCATCAGAGCTTCTAACTCTGGAGTCCACCCTAGAGCGTCAACAAGGGTCTTTATGCCACCAACCACGTCTCCCAGTTGCACAACATCATTGGTCCGTTGGCCCCATACAAAAGGTCCGACCAAGTCTCTGTTGATGAGCAGGCGAGGTACGGAGCTGCGCACAGCTCCTGCCAGGCTTGCAAACGGCTCCACCTGCAGAGCAGAGAATTTGGATCAGGACGGCTTTGATCTGAAGATTTGTCAGCTTAGAAACAACAACCAGGAATGAATTTTACAAAGTTGATGATAAGTCCAATGATTCTGCTGAGTCATGAAGCCCATTGAGACCAACAGGTGACCCTGCAAAGTCTGCTCACCTCCAGTGATGTTCCCATGATGATCAGCAGGTCAGCCAGTGGGAAGTCTGCCAGGTACTTGAAGAAATGGCGTGGTAGCTCCTCCCCAAAGAACACAATGTCCGGCTTCACAACGCCCTTACAGGTGGGACACTGAGGGACCTTCCCACTCATCACCTCTGGCTGACAAGACCAGAAACATTACATGCTGGTTCCACTAAAAACTTCAGTGTTCTAACTAAACATTCATCTTTGGGTTCTGGTGATGTGGTTATAGCGTATTGGTCTCATGAGTAAAACTGAGTTGATATTAACAACCCAAAACAGAGAAGAATGTCAGTGCTAAAGGTTTTTTTCTCACTTTAAAAACTGTGAGTAGAACATTTCCAGAACCAGTACCTGCTTTGAGGTTCTGTTCACTCATTTTTACCAGGAGTCAAGTTAGAGTTGTTGAAAGGCCATTCCACAGCCTGTTCTAATTTGTGTGTTTAGGATTATTGTTCTTTTAGAACACCAAACCACCTAGCTGCTCTTTAGAATTAAAGTTGAAGAACAGAGAAGCAGTCTTTCATTTCTCCATTTTCCATATGCACTGCATCAGGGCCACTAGAATTGAAAACAGCCCACATCATGATAGGGCTTCCACCATGTTTAACAGTAGTTAAAATGTTCCGAGTTGTTGTTGCTCAGCATCTTAACCAAGATTTTCAACCTAAGCAAAGTTAAGACAATGAAGCATAGTTGTATTACCACATGCTCTGCATATGGCAGCAAAAGGGTTTCGAACTTGAGTAAATAGATAAGGAAATCCCTTATTGTCCCGCAATGGGGAAATTTTGGCGTTTACAGCAGCAAAAACATTATAGAAAAAAATTGTCACACAAATGTGGACCTTAGAAAAAAATGTGTATGAATAACATCTAAATCTACTAGGGCTGGGCAATTAATTACATTTGCAACATAATCGCAATTTAACATAACATAATTTTCAAATTGCAGAGGCACTGATTTTTAATCATACTTATATTTAAAATGAGTAGGACACGAAACTTCTCCCTCCAGCCCTTTAGGTGGTGATTAACCACTTGAAGGGGACTTGAAGTGGATTCAATGCAGCAAAGATTTGTAATTTATTCAAGTAAAAAACACAATAAAATCAAAATGGTGTCCTGAATGTTGCTTTCCAATCTTTTATGCAGTATAATTATTCCACTCTGGATAAAGAATGTCCAAATAAATCATTAAAAGCCTTAATGTGATGTGAAGGTTTTGCATTCCCATTGTGAATAGATTTAAAGTTATGCATCTGATTTCTAAATTCCTGAAAGCCTTTTATGTTCTAAAGTTGGAAATGCTCAAACAGGTTGCAAGTTGAGAGTCTGGTACTCACTCGCAGATCCTCGCCGTCATATTTCCGTAAACATGATGTACATGTGGCCGTTGCAAACGTTCCGTGGGCCTCCACCAGCATCTCCGGAGGAACTCCTGCCACTTGATCCACAAACAAAAAGTAATTTAATACACACTGATACCAATGAGGGCCCAGGACTGCCGACAAAGGGTCTGAGCACCTACGTCTCTCCAGCCCGTCGATGTTCTGTGTGTACATCCGAAGCAACTGCCCCTTCTTGTGAAGCAGACTAACAAAGTAGTGCGTCAGGTTTGGCTGGTAGTTACCAGGATACAGCTCCTTGGCCAGGGCGAAGAAAGGATTTGGGTTTCGATGGAAGAATTCAATCTCGAAGATCGCCTCAGCGTATGGGAGGTCATACTGCTGGAGGTTATCATACAAACCGCTTCCTGGAGACCTGCAAGGCAAGAAAACACTGAATACTGATGCCTTATGATCAGCCAACCAATCACAGACACACTTCTGTACCTAAAATCTGGGATGCCACTGGGCGTGCTGATCCCAGCTCCAGCCATCACCACAACCCGTCTGTACTGTCGCTCTCGGATGTTTTTGGCGACATCCTGCAGAGTCTGCTTCTGTACAGATTCACCTCCACCGCTGGAGAAAAGGCCTCTTCTTATGACCCTCTGGAGGAACAGAGGCTCCCTGAGAAGAAGCAAACATCTGTATCGCTATAAACCTCACTATAAATACAAATAAAGACCAGTACAATGTTCCCTGATATAACGTGATTATCAAATGGTTTGCAGTCAATAATTCTGCAGGAAGACAGATCCTTCTACAAGTGGAAGACTTTGTGAGTAGACAACCAGCATTAGTAGAAATCAGCAAAAAGTTGTTTGAGCTTTTGTTGCAAGACCTGGAGTTCAAAGCGAATTCCCATTAAAAAGGTATCCTAGGCTAAAAGGTAGTCCATCCACCTGACAGCTTAAGTTTAAACTCCAATTTAACTTTATCCTTACTCTACTGAATTTTTGCAGGGATTCATTCAATAAGAATACAGACTTGGAATACTTTTATGAAAAGTGTTCTGCTATAAGCAAATAAGCATCAGAGGAAAGAGACACAGCTTTTTTTCTTATTTCATCTTTTTATTCTCATTACACTCACAAGTACAGAGCAACGAAATGAACTCTCTGCATTTAACCCATCCCCTTAGGGAGCAGTGGGCTGCCATTGTGCGACGCCTGGGGAACGGTGAGTGGGATTTGAACCCTAACCACCAGAGGCTTTGCCAGAAAATTTTGGGTGGCCAAGCGATAACTGGTGTACACTGAGGGGTGGTCGTAGGTGGATAGACGCCTCAGGGTCAAGCCTAATATGAGAATAACTATACATTCCTACAGCCTTTGCGGACAAATAAACGCATATATTTAAACATCCGTCTAGATAAAGTTATTTCAGGTTAGAGTTCTGGGGCGAACATCTTTTCCATTGTCATTACTTACCTACTTTTATCGATAATCATTCTGCATTAAATTTATATTTACAATTACAAACATCTACATGAATTTATTATTTTATACATTTTTATTAAAATTGTTATTTATCTATGATTTCACTGAAGACTCCTAGATGAATTGCAGAGACATATTATTTTCTCTTTACCCCATATAAAACAAAATCCAGTTCTGAAAAGAGCATGAATTCTGTACTTATCATCTTTAATGTTAGTATATTGATGTGTATAATTAACCACAGTGTTATTGTTGTCAAAAAATTACGAATACATGAAAAAATACTAAGTAATATATGAAAAATTAAAATGAATATTCCACTTGAGAGTATTACTACTGGTACCATCTGTATTAGAGGTCAGTGATTGGCTCCCCCATCTAGCTCCGCCCCTGCTAACCAGCTCCTGGTGTGTTTATAAAAACATGTCACCTGAACAGGTGAGGCGCTACCTGAAGGAAGCCGCTGAGATGCCAGCCGGATATGAGCTACTGGGACGGACACCTGAAAAGAAAAAATTTGCATTATCTCAAACATTTTTATTTTGAATCATTATGTGCGTCTAAATGAGTTCACTTACCTTTTGCACAGATCTTCCTGGTTGCTCCTGAATTCAGCCTACGGTGCAAACAACACAGCCTGACAGTTAAAGACAAACCAGCCATCCTACAGGTTCTGTACGGAACCCTTTCTGTTGGTTTATTGAGATTAAGACACTACTAAACCACGCCGAGCTCAGAGCAGCTGTTATATCCCTCTAAAACATAAGTTATTGCCCTTTTTATGACGAACAAGTACGGTACGCATATTCACGAAGACAGAATCGCAGACGTAACGATGCGTTTAAGGCACCTCGGAAATAGCAGTTTAAAAGGGGAAATAAGTGGTCAAATAATTTATTGGAGTCCTCAATGACAATTATTACCAAATTGTGGCAATGATTAAACGTACTTCTACACTACACTACACTAAACAAGTTTGATTTATTTTTTACTCATTTTAGGGCATTTCATTATGTTATATGTGTCTTTCTAAATAAACATCTAAATAAATCATTTGAGATGTATAAAAAGAATGCAGGATTTGGTTACTCCTCAGGTTCTGCCGCACTTGATAACGCTTGTTGTTACACACACACACACAAAAATACTTATATAAACGACTCAAGACAAGGAGTTGGAAAACCTTGATGTAAATTAAATCAAAAACCCTATTATAGCCCTAAATGAAATAACCTCTTTATTGAGAAGCTATTTTGGTGTTTTTGTATGCATGAATATACTGCATGTTTGGCATATAAAAAATGTGTTTCTCAATTACTTTTATGTTCGTTCTTATCCTGTAAATATTACTAAACAGATGCATATCCATTTTAGTTTTCATTTGCATATACAGCCTTAAATCTCCATTTAATTTTAGTTTTTTACACCTCAAACTTTGCACTATGGAGTGCAATTAATGATATTTTACACAGAACTAGTCATACATTATTGGATATAAAAAAAAAAAACTTTATTTAACAAAATAAGAAAAACAATGCCTTCACTTCTTGGTTATGTTGGGTTCCAGCACATGAAGGTGTAAAAGGCAATGCAGATATATTAGCAAAAAGGGCTTTAGAGGGAACAATAACAATTACAGAAAATGTAGAACATTGATGAACTGTAAAACGTATGAACGTGAAATGGATAAATTGAGAAGGATGGTTAGAAGGACAGGCAAAGAGTTGAGTCTTAAAGAAATATTGGGAAATTAAGGAAATATAAAGGATATTCACAGATCAAGGAAAGCATTATTTATTTATCTACAGAATACAAAATTTAAAAATAGATGAATGTATGTAAAGTAATGTTGCTACACACTCATGTACAGTAGGTGGCGGTATGCACCTTAAGGTTGCTTGCGATCCGCCCTAAAAGAAAAGAAGAAGAAGTAGACCTCTTGTGCCTTCACTTCCCAGACACCTTTGCGGATCGCTGCGCAGACGCAGACTGTGAACACGGCAGGCTTCTTGACATTAGTTGATAACTTAAACAGCTCTTACCACCCTTCTGGCTTAAGAAATTACATTTTCTTAGTTTTCTACGATGAAAGATGTTAGCGGTTACCTCAAACAGCAGCAGAGTAGCAGCTCCACGCCAGAAATGGCGGCGGAGTGGCACGCTTTGGAGGATTTCTACAACAAAAGGTAAAATGTTAGCCGATAGCTTAGCTCACGTTAGCTTGTCCATTGATTTTAAACGTCACGCTGAGTCATTGAGCTAACCAAAGCTAACTAAAACCTCACCAAATGCTAAACTTAATGGCTTTTGTATATATGTGATCTAATTAAAATAATGAAGGGTTTGAGATTTAAGTTTGAAATTTAAATGTTATTTATGATTACTCCGTTAAATTTCAGACATGCTTGTTTTCAAAAGCTTTTGTTTTCTCTCTAATGTATATATATATATATATATATATATATATATATATATATATATATATATATATAGTACAGTTGAATATTTTACTGTGTATTTATGTATGTTACTGGGTTGTTTTTAAGGACTGATTTTAAGTGGTATAACTTTGAAAATAACAACGGGATTCCTGTGCAATCTTAGTAGTGTTTATCACTAGTCAAGAATACCAATAGTAATAATATTCAATTAGGTCTCCACATGTGTTTTGTTTTCTAAAGGACAATATGACTTTTAAAAACACGGTTGCTCCAAACAAAAACAAGCAGTTGGTTTGTTGTATTAATCTTTGCGTGTTTATTTATACAGAATAATTAATATACATAGTAATCCAAAGGATTTTTGAGGACATCAAAATAATAAAGAATAAAGGAAAATCTGATAAAATATAAATCAGATTCTACAGAAGACCCTTCCTACCTACAGCTATCAGCACTTTTAACAACTTGTTAAAAGACTAACCATAATTTACAGCAACCTTTAACTTCCTTTTCTGAGTAATATTAATTAGGTATAATTGAATTGATTGGAAGAGCATAGAATTATTTATAACACATGTGCTTCCACAGCAATGAGGGTATTTTAGAGTTCTGCCAGAGAAAATGGAGAATTCGGTGGACAGGGGCCTCAGGTGATATAACGGCTTTCATTTTAAAGTTTGTTTTATTTTGTGACCTATGAGCTAAAATCAATGTGATTTGGAGTTTTTGAATGGCCAGAACATTGAACTTCAGGACGCTCAATGACAGGGAGCTGATTCGCTCAGTTGGAAAACAATAGTTTATCACTCGCCTGCACAATTCTAATATTTGTAAAATGATAAAAGGGTGATGCACATCGATTAAAAACAGCTAAAATATGTCATAGTGTGGATGTGTTTAACCTTAGAAATAGTCTGGGGAAGTGAGTATTGATCAGGATCCCCCAGGACATCTCGACGGCCTTGAGATTCCTTAGAGCGATGTGGAAAGTGTCATTAAATGACTGGCTGTTTTGGTTTTAGCCATGAATTCTCTCGGATAGCTATGAATGGATGGTCAAACATTGAATTGTTTGATTTAAACATAGCAATAACACACTATGCAGATTCAGGTACAGCCTTGTGTTTCTCAATATATTTTAAGGTTAAAGAGCGGAGATGTTAGGCCAAAAACAAAATTTATCCATAGTTTTTTATTTTACGATTGTTGTATTATGCCACGTTTGACATAATAGTACTGTAAGGGCCAATTTCTTTGCTGTCTTTTATGCTTAAACGTTTACAAAGATAATAAAATTGATGTAGAGAGATGGGAGCATCACCAAGAAGATCATGGGAAATATGTGTTAATTACAAATAGGTTGTTTTAACCTCTAATTTCTTTAAAACAAAATCCAATTAATCTTTTTCTCTTTCACTTAAGTTTTATAATAGAAATAGCAAATTACATAAACTGCTTTAAAAAACTAGCTTTGATTTCAGTTTCCCCCCTTCCATTCCATTTTATTGACTGCCCAGCCCCAATTACAGTCAGTTTTATCACTGTAACTAATAAATCAACTTATATTCGGTTGAAAAATTACGACACATTAAATGCCAAAAATGTTTACTCTGTGTCAAATTAAGGAAGCCATGTACAGTCAAATGAATTGGGCACCCCTATTAATCTTGATTAATATTATTATTTCTAAATATTTGGGGGTTTGAAACAGCTATTTCAGTTATATATATCTAATAATTGATGGACACTATATACAATATTTCAGTATTGAATTGATGTTTATTGGACAAACAGAAAACGTGCAATATGCTTTAAAACGAAACTTGACAGGTGCAAAAATGTGGGTACCCTAATCAGTTAATTGATTTGATTACTCTTAACTACTTTTCACTGACTTACTAAAACACAAAATTGGTTTGTTAACTTCATTAAGATTTGAACTTTAGAACCAGGTGTATCCAATCTTGAGAGAATGATTTATTTTTATTTATGTATTTTAAGTGGCCAGTTGCAAGTTGTTTTCCTGTTGTTCCTCATGGGCACCTTAAAACAACTCTCAAATGATGTGTAAACAAAGGTTGTTCAACATAGTCATTCAGGGGAAGGACACAAATTGTCTTAAAGATTTAAACTGTCACTTTCCACTGTGAGGAACATAAGAAGGGAATGGAAGACCACAGCGACAGTTCTTGTTAAGCCCAGTGGCAGGCCAAGAAAAATATCAGAGAGGCAGAGAAGAAGAATGGTGAGAATGGTCAAAGACAACCCACAGACCACCTCCAAAGACCTGCAGCATCATCTTGCTGCACATGGTGTCACTTTGCATCGTTCAACAATTCAGCGCAAATTGCACCAGGAGAAGCTGCATGGGAGAGAGTGATGTGACAGAAGCCTGTTCTGCAAGCACGCCACAAACAGAATCGCTTTAAGCAAAAGCACATTTGGACAAGTCAGCTTAATTTTGTAATAAGGTCCTGTGGACTGATGAAACAAAGATTGAGTTGTTTGGTCATAAAGAGGCGTTATGCATGGTGGCAAAAAACATGCAGGGTTCCAAGAAAAACACATGCTAGCCACTGTAAAATTTGGTGGAGGTTTCATCATGCTTTGGGGCTGCATAGCCATTCTGCTGGCACTGAGAATCTTGTTAAAGTTGAGGATCGCATGGATTCCACTCAATATCAGCCGATTGTTGAGGATATATGTTCAAGAATCAGTTACAAAGTTGAAAGTCCTGCCAGGGATGGATATTTCAGCAAGACAATGATCCGAAACACTGCTCCAAATCTACTCAGGCATTCATGCAGAAGAACAATTCCAATGTTCTGGAATGGCCATCCCAATCCACAAACCTGAATATCATTGAACATCTGTGGGATGATTTGAAGCAGGCTGTCCACGCTCGGGGACCATCAAGGTTAACTGAACTGGAATTCTTTTGCAAAGAAGAATGTTCAAAAATCCCTTCATCCAAGAACTCATTAAAAGCTGCAGGAAGCAACTAAAGGCTGCTGGTTTTGCAAAAGGAGGATCTACAAATAATAATGTCTGTTTTTATGCTGAGTTGCCCATAGTTTTGCAGCTATCGATTTTTGTTTTATTGCGTACTGCACATTTTCTGTTGTTCCAGTAAACCTCAATTAAATAGTGAAATATTACTGTCTTATTAGAAATATCAAACTGAAATAGCTGTAACAAACACCCAAATATTTAGAAATTAAAATAATTAAGATTAATAGGGCTGCCCAATTTTTTTATATGACTATTAAGTGGAGTTGAGAAATTACCATTAATTGGTTAGAAATCATACAAGTTATTTCACAAAAATCAAACATTTAACTCCAAACAAGCTTAAGTCTTCTTATTTAATCAAATATTTAATATTATGACAGCATAACCATGTATACAGCCTCCCCCATCGCTGAGCTGCATCTGTACCAGATTAACGGCCAAATTGAACCAACCAGTCAAATGCTCAACTGCAGGCATCCCTCTGTTTATTAGTGTGCGATTTTTTTCCCCAACCTTGTCTTTATTCCTGGCAGATTGTGGCATCAGTTGACTCTGAAGCTGACAGACTTTGTCAAAGATCCTTTCTTCAAAACAGGAGATGGCCTCATACAGGTAACTGCATTATGTCCACACAAAGCTACCTGCACAGCTGGTGCTGTCTGAGGTCCAGGCATAAATATAGAGAGGGGGTTACTGTGCTGTTGGCTGTTCATGCTGTTCTAATTGGTCTGTTTTCTTTTTGTAGCTCTATGAAAATTTTATCAGTGACTTCGAACACAGGTGAGCTAAAAGTAGCTAAACAGCCTCTTACTTTAGTGATTGGTTATTTCTCTGTTCTGATGTTGTTTCCCTCTCCAACAGAATCAACCCCTTGTCTCTGGTTGAGATCATCCTCTATGTTGCCAGACAGATGTCAGGTTAGCACCAAAGGAACAGCTTTTTTCCCACAAGTTTTATTCTCACATCTTGTGTACTTATTAAGTTGGTTTTCTTCCAGATCCAAAATATGCCATCACTTTTCTCGAGAAAACAAAAGAAAAGGTCAGTTAAACCTTTCCAGCACCTCTAGTATCTGCTGTCAATTCTGTTATTATTGATATATCTGACCCTGCGTATGCGTGACCCAGGTGAAAAGCAGTGAAGAAGCCGTCATTCTTTGCAAGACGTCCATCGGGAGACTGAAGTTGGAAATCAGCGATCTTCCTGCGACGAAGGTGAAACCTCTTTACCTCGTCTGACTCAGAGATTTACACCTTGTTAAGATTTAAAACACACTGGTGCAAATAAGGAGCTGTGTGTTAGAACTCGGCTCCTCTTTGATGTCACAGTGACAAAAAACAGAAAGCTGCTAAACTCCTATTATAACAAGTCAAATATTTCCTGCCTTGACTAAAATAGCTTACAGGTGATTGGGTGATTAATTCAGAGTAGAAACACTCAGGATTTAAGACAGAAGCATACACTATGGTTCAGACTAGGAAAACAGGATATATATGCTGTTAGCCGACGTTAGTCTCTTTTTAATATAATATAATTTCACAGATCTCATCAGTAATAACTGTTTTTTTCCATGTTGTTGCTGTGTATGTATATGTTTCAGGAAATGGTCGTGTTGTATTTGGTTATGTGACAGTGATGCAAAGCAGGACAGAGGAGTGTTTAACAAAGCAGAAATGTGGTTGTTTGTTTCTAAAGGGTACAGAACTATATATAACATTATACTGCTAAAAAAAACAAACCCCAAAACATTATATTAGTATATATCAGTTATAAGCAAACAGCAATATTTTTACATTATTTCATATTAGTGCATCCCAAGTTCAGACTGCATAATATTGCGGGGCGATACGGCTTTAAAATCGCATGCTTAGTTTGAATTTGACAATAGAAGCATGTCTTTAATTCTTTGAAGTAATTTAAAGGTAGTACTTGTATAGATGCAAATAAAAACCACAGCAGTCATAGCCCCATGATCGGAAACACTGCTCTGAGAAAAAAAAAAACACATTTATGATAGGAAACTTCAGGTCGCCAGTTACATTTAAAAGTATCGCCACGTTTAATCACATTCTTCAAATTTACCAATCCCCCAATGACAAAAATAAAATGATTAAATCAAAATGTACAGTTCATACATGCTAATTCTAATTTGTTTAGACAATAAATAAAAGTTATGACTAGAAATGTATCATAACGATAAATACCACTTCCGATAAGTATTGTTTGATTAGTCACTACATTAGGTATTGCTCATAAATAAAAAAGGTGGGGGATTTTCATGCCTTTTACACAGGTGGATGAGATCATTTTTACATACAAGTATCGGCGGATCACCGATCTTCCCATGAATTGGTGCACAGCTAATGTTAAATCCGAAGCCACTTTAAATCTGACCTTTAGGATGCTAACCTGCAGCCTGTTGTAAACACTTCTTCCCTAATTTTCTTGCTTTTAAATGTCTTGAATTCATTAGAATATAATTGCACGTATTCCCTTGAGAGTTGAAACAGTTTTAGATAAAAAGGATGGTCCAACGTTAAATTAAGCCCTATGGTTAAAGAATGCGATGTCACGTATATGGGCATTCTAGCCTAAATTTGAATTAAACAACTGATTTAAGTGAACGATTAACAGAAGAATGTAAAAACAAAGGAGATATCTATGGCTGACATCTATGTTCCTTCGGTTCTCCCACCTTCAGAAAATTATTGAGGAGGTGGAGGAGATGTTGAATAACTTGCCAGGAGTTACCTCAGTCCACGGGCGGTTTTACGACCTCTCCAGCAAATATTACCGCATCATCGGGAACCACGCCGCCTACTACAAGGATGCTCTGCGCTACCTTGGGTGTGTGGACATCAAAGACCTTCCAGGTGGAAACAACACAACGGGGAAAACAAACCACACTGATGTAATGGTTTATTGTTAACATCAGAGCCTGTTTGTTTTTCTCCTCTGCAGAAACGGAGAAGCAGGAAAGAGCCTTCACACTCGGCCTGGCTGGACTCCTTGGGGAGGGAGTTTACAACTTTGGAGAGCTGGTGGGGTTTCTGCTGAAATTATACTCGGTTTTACAGCCGAGACTCTGATTGGTTTTTACTACATCTGCTGTTTGTTCTGCAGCTGATGCATCCTGTGCTGGAGTCTCTGAGGAACACAGACAAACAGTGGCTTATTGATACTTTGTATGCCTTCAATGCTGGGAATGTGGAGAAGTTCCAGGGCTTCAAATCTGCCTGGGGGCAACAGGTGAGACAAACATGATCTAAACTTTCTTTATTTTCAGGAGTTTGAATGACTTCATATGAAGATGCATTCATGGTTCTTTTGTCATGATGCTTTCCCAGGAGTGCAGTCATACAGACGTAATGTAACGCAGGGAAATTTCAGTCAGCTGACTGGTTAGTCGGCTACTAAATAGTCATGCATGAAACAAACCATTGAAGGTCAATGTGGAAAATAAGAACACTGGTTATGGTGGAACCAGACTGAAGTAAACGATTAGAGCAGAGAAAAGGAGGAACGCGCTGCATCCGACCCTTCTGCTGCTTTTATTATTCAATAACATTTCCAGAAAAACAGGCCGGTTGCATTGATCGGATCCTCATTGGCAGATTGTTATGAAACCAATTTTCCTTTATTTGTCCTTTAGCAGTAAAATCTTTTTTTTTTTTTTTAGCAACTGAGTGATAGAAAAATGAAGGCACACAAAAGATTTGTTTTAAATAAAATAAAAACAATTGCACAACTTAAACAAAAAACATTGAGTTATACTTTTAAATGATAAATATTTCTAAATTAGTTTAGACATTTTCCTCACTTATTGGTTTAGCCATAATTAAGAGATATTGTCTCATTGTAAATAATGGTCGCCATAGGGACACGGTTCTTAAATACAAAGTGCTTTACAAAAATGTTGGTAATGGAAATTATTTTTATTACGTATTTGATTCAATGTTGAGTATCACATTTTTGTATTATGACATCCCTAGTTTAGGTGATGGAAATTTTGGAGTCATATGTGGCCAATATTCTTTAGATCATTTAAAAGCAGATAAAAGATAAAGGAATAAATTAAAGTGAGAAATCGGGAGTATAATGTCAGGGCCGTCGAGTATCTAAAGCCTTCCTGAGGAAAAAAAGGCACGTTTTAGTTGTTTATCACAATTCAGTACAAAGATGATTCAAAGTGAATTTAACAGTAAAATGAAAGGAAAGTAAAAGCAGGATAAAAAGCTATTATAGATAAAAACAATAAAGCAAATAAAATACTTGGACTGCAAACAGTTTAATCTCAACAGTCAAAAGCTGTTCTAAATAAATTAGTTTTTTTACTTTGACTTAAAGAAACTCAGGCTTTCAGCACTTCTACAGTTTTCCTTAGCCTTTAACAGAGGTCTGAAGTTTGCAAGTACAACATAAAAACATTAAACCAATTTTAGTGAGATCATTCTCTTGTTTTTTTCAAAGAGGAATCCAAGTGTGATTTATTTCTTTTGAAGTGGTCTGTGTGAATTTACATGTAATTAAAGTGATTTTTTTCCCTTCTATCTATGACAGCCTGACCTTGCAGCTCATGAACCTAAGCTGATGCAGAAGATCCAGCTGCTCTGCGTGATGGAGGTGGGTTTTGTAATAAGATGTTTTTGTCTAGCGTCTGATGGTCTTATCAGAGCTCTTGGATCTAAACATATGAAATGTGGCCTCATTTTCCAGATGACGTTCACTCGTCCTGCAAATCACCGGCAGCTCACCTTTACAGAGATTGCTCAGAGTGCTAAAATCCCCGTTAACGAGGTTAGCTGGGCCATCTGTTGGCTATCCCTTTGGTCACACAGACCGAGTCTGGTAATGTCAGGGAGGAGTCCTTACATGTGTGTCTCCTGCAGGTGGAGCTGCTGGTGATGAAGGCGCTGTCTGTTGGCCTGATAAAAGGGAACATTGATGAAGTGGACCAGAAGGTGCAGATGACCTGGGTGCAGCCCAGAGTACTGGACCTGCAGCAGGTTGGTGCTTTTTTTTTTTTTTTTTTTTTTTGTATTTTTCTCAGGATTAAGAAAATTTGACAAAATTGTGTTTCGTTGGTCCCTGTTAGATAAAAGGCATGAAGGACCGTTTGGACCTGTGGTGTGGCGACGTTAAAAACATGACGGTGCTGGTGGAGCAGCAGGCTCACGACATCCTCACCTGAGCAGGTGTCTCTGTCGTCCCACAGAGGGGCAAATCTCACCATTTCCTTTTTTTTTAACGCCATATTTTTCTTCTGTTACCCTCACTGTTTAATATCAGTCTGTAAGTTACGACATGCTGTTTTACAAGCAGTTGTAACATCACCCTCAGAAAACAACCCAAACTGTAAAAAAAAAATCGAAATAAAATGTCTTTAAAAAAGATGACTCTTTTCAGATATGTTATTTCTTATTGTTGAAATTACACAGCACCAGATACACTTTATCTGAATCAGAAAGAAATGGGTATTAGGAAAAACAGCCAACAGGTGAAGAAAACATTTTATCTGACTAAATACAGCAAATTTAAAAATGGTTCTATAATTTTCACAAAAATATGGCAACAAAGCAGCTTTTAAATGCCTTATTTAGGGTATGTTAAATGATTTTTTGTGTAAAAGTTGCTGTTCTCATACAAGCTTACTGTGCCCGAACGTCCTTCCTAACCCCTAAATCCCTCCATCCCTATATACAGCAGGGACTATATGGTGGACTTTACATCAAACTGTGTTAACTGACCGTTCAGACAGATGATCACTGCTTTTTGCTCTGTCGGTCACGTAACTCCTCCACTTTGCGTTGCCTGCGCCATCTATTTGTCGCTGCTGTCAGATAGCGACAGCGGGCAGCTGTGATGGCAAATCCCATAATGCCTTGCAAGGAGGGTCCCTGTGCAAAGCATTCTGGGATAGATCTGCCTCTTCTGAGGCTTTTCTTCTCATACACTTCGTGGACACTTTTACGAACCTCTGCCACTTTCAAAGAACCGAGGTGAGAAAGGTGAGCTTCAATGACTAACATGCACAGAAAAAGATGGCTAACGGCACAAGCATGTAGGATGGCCTTACGTAAACATAACTAAGGTGCAAGAATCTCAGGAATTCTCAGAAATAAAGCCAAGTGAAAGTGATTCTTTGGGATGGAAATCTTGTATGTCTTAAACCAAACCTTTATTGTACATTTTGTTAGTTTGTCTATCTGCTATATTAACCAATATGATGTGTTGAACTAGATCAGCTATTTTCACAACTTTTGTAAGACACTTTTTTATAAAGTAGTGCATTCATTCATAAAAAAGTTTGTTTTCTGCCAACAGCAATGATGAACTGCATGGCAGCATGGTATACCCAGCTATTGTAGTATCTAGGCTACAGCTGTCAGTCTGGTAAAGGTTAACTTTTTTGCAACATAAAACTAGACTAAATCCTTTTTAATATTTAGTCGAATAAAACCGACTAAAACTATCTCATAACATGACTAAAATGTGACTAAAACTAATATTACTGTAGTTTTCATCATAAAGACTAAATCTAAGATGGCTGTCAAAAACAACACTGCTCTTATATCCATACAGAGAGCAAAGGAAAAAAAGTATTTGAGTACCAGTTGGTAGTAAGTCCCCCCAAGCTGATGCAGGTTCTTCATGCACACAAACATTCAGTGTTTACTTTGAGGGGAAAGGCTGCAGATCAGTTCACCCCTAAAAACAAATGAAATGCAAGTTAAACTATTCAATACATAATGAATACTGTTGAAATTGCTGAGCTAAGTACTCTGCAAGTTTCTGGATTAATCTACGGATGTTTGACATGTGTGAGGGAGCTGAGCCAATTGCAAGTTATCCATTGACTGGCTGTCTTTGTCCCAGCCTTTAGAAGTGGCTTGAGGGTGGGTTCTTCATTAGCGGCAGGTTGAAAAGCTCTGTCATAAGTCAGAGGCTTAGGATAGAGCTCTTGCTCTTCCACATCGAAGAGAGTTGGAAAAGATGGTTCAGGCTTCTGAAAAGGAGGCCTCCTCAATGTCTCCCCTTGGAGGTTTTCCATTATGTCCCTTTAAGGGATCAGAACCAGAACTTACTTTATATTCTTTTAAAGCTCGGGAACATCTTAGAGTCCTGGAAGGGGCTCAAAACCATCACAGAGGGGAGGGATTTTTCCTGCTGGATCTTTCATCCTGTTAATGGCAAAGCTGTCCGTTCCTCAAGTCAAATCAGCATCACAGTTTATGACAGTTAAAATTTTATACTCTTTACACTCATTAATGATTTAACATAGAATAAGCTGTGAATTCACTTCTACTAGACTCAAAGGTGACCTGGGAAGAAAACCGCTGCAAGGTCTGATAGCATTCATGTTGGGCAGCCCTCAGATTTAACATTTAACTCCACATCCATCCGTAGTCGAGACAGTGAAATTTATACAAGAGTCAATTAACCCAATACTGTTTTTAACTTAGCCTGGTTTTTCAGCATTTTATGGAAATTATCCAATCAGTTTGGCAGTGGTGCAGGAGCAGCACTGCTGCCTTGCAGCAAGAGGGTTCCGAGTTCGATTCCCAGCCCAGGGTCTTTCTGCATGGAGTTTGCATGTTCTCCCTGAGAATGCTTGGGTTCTCTCCTGGTACTCCGGCTTCCTCCCACAGTCCAAAAACATGTATGTTAGGCTCTTTGGCTTCACTAAATTATCCTTAGGTGTGAGTGTGTGTGTGTCCTTGCGATAGATTGGTAACCTGTCCAGGGTGTTCCCTCCCTCTCGCCCGCTGGAGACACCAGCACCACTCACGACCCTGCTTGGGATACGTGTGATGGAAAATGGATGGATGGATCCAATCCATTTTGGAACCTTAGCAACTTGCAATCAGAGACAACAACAAGAATACCAAAAGAATATACTGATAGATGTATCTACCCTGTCATAGAAATTCATAACAAGATTTTATTTAAGAAATATATCTTGCCTTTATTTCCGTTTAAGGAAGCATGTTTTTTAGTGACTGCCCTCCCTCTTTTAGATTACTCATATGCATATAAATGCACCAGCCACCACATATGTTAAAAAAAAACATTTTATCATAGAGTATTAAGGTTCATAACCAGATATAGATCTTTAGTTCACCACTGTAATCTATATTCTCCAGTGGACTGGCCAACATTACCTTTATGTAGATTTGTACATTTTCATTTATAAAGCTGTTCTTGACCAAAACTCATTTTTGTCACTTAGACGGTCCTGCATTACTAAAAACAGGCACCTTCTTATGCAACTCTTTTTTCCCTATTTTATTAGGTTCTGTAAATTGAATGTTTTAATTTACTCTATTTTTATTGCATTTGTAATATTAATTTTTTTGTATTATCAAATGGGGTGTGAGAAAAATTATTCTGTCAAATATTGCAATATTTCATTAGACGTGTTTCAAAATGCAACAGAATAGATCTTAAATGTAAGAATAATATACAGGCAGACATCAATTTCAGTGTCTTTCTTTGAAATAACCCTTAAGCTACTTGCTGTCAGCACAGCGCCGTAGAGCCTTTCATTCAGCGACGCTGCACCAGCTGCAGAGGAACTCTAGAGGATTTTCACAGCTATATTATTATCAAAATTACAATATATCTTCTTTGTTTATGTATCAGGATGTATTGGGATACGTCATATCATGACACATGGATTGTGATACGTATCGTATCCCCAAATTTTTGCCAATGCACACACCTATTGTCAAAACAGGTAAATATAAAGGTTAAATATATTTAAAAAAAACTTGTTTAAAAAAAAAAAAAAAAAAGCTACCTAAAAGCATTGAGGAGCTCTTTTACAAATTTTTCAAAAGACCCTGCCTCTCCAATTACAACAAAAGCATGCACGAGAGCATGCACAAGCCCATTCCTCCTTGTGCACGCTCCGTTTAAAAGTTTCTGTTCTCATAGCTCATACAAGCGTACCATGTCCGAACGTCCGCCCTGACCCCTAAATCCATTATTACTGTATATAGCGGGGACTATATAGTGGGCTTTACAGTGGACATTATAGTAGACTGTTCACTGCTTTTTGCATTCCATTGGTCAAATAGCTCCTCCTCCACTTCTGTTATTAGTCACCACTGTCAGGTAGCGACAGCCTATGGCCACAGCGAGGCGCTGTGACAGCAATCCCATAATGCTTTGCAAGGAGAGCTCTCTGTGCAAAGCATCCTGGGATATATCTGCCTCTTGAGGCCTTTGTAGACACTTTTTTACGACCCTCGGCTATTTTCAAAGAACCGTGGTGAGAAAGGTGAGCTTCACTGACTGTCTGAAATCTTATCTCACCACAGATACAGGTGCTGGTCATAAAATTAGAATATCATGAAAAAGTAGATTGATTTCAGTAATTCCATTTAAAAAGTGAAACTTGTATATTATATTCATACATTACATACAAACTCATATATTTCAGATGTTTATTTTGTTTAATTTTGATGATTACAAATGACAACAAATGAAAATCTCAAATTCATCATATCAGAAAATTAGAATATTACTGAAGACCAATAAAAACAAAGGATTTATAGAAATGTTGGCCAACTGAAAAGTATGAACATGAAAAGTATGAGCATGTACAGCACTCAGTATTTAGTTGGGCCTCCTTTGGCCTGTATTACTGCAGCAATGCGGCGTGGCATGGAGTCGATCAGTCTGTGGCACTGCTCAGGTGTTATGATAGCCCAGGTTGCTCTAATAGTGGCTTTTAGCTCTTCTGAATTGTTGGGTCTGGTGTATTGCATCTTCTTCTTCACAATACCCCATAGATTTTCTATGGGGTTAAGGTCAGGAGAGTTTGCTGGCCAATTAAGAACAGGGATACCATGGTCCTTCAACCAGGTACTGGTAGCTTTGGCACTGTGTGCAGGTGCCAAGTCCTGTTGGAAAATGAAATCTGCATCTCCAAAAAGTTGGTCAGCTGCAGGAAGCATGAAGTGCTCTAAAACTTCCTGGTATGTGGCTGCGTTGACCCTGGACCTCAGAAAACACAATGGACCAACACCAGCAGATGACATGGCACCCCAAACCATCACTGACTGTGGAAACTTTACACTGGACTTCAAGCAACGTGGATGAAGTGCCTCTCTTCTTTTCCTCCAGACTCTGGGACCTTGATTTCCAAAGGAAATGCAAAATTTACTTTCATCAGAGAGCATGACTTTGGACCACTCACCAGCAGTCCAGTCCTGTTTCTCTTTAGCCCAGGCAAGACGCTTCTGACGCTGTCTGTGGTTCAAGAGTGGCTTGACACAAGGAATGCGACAGCAGAAACCCATGTCTTTCATACGTCTGTGTGTGGTGGTTCTTGAAGCACTCACTCCAGCTGCAGTCCACTCTTTGTG